CCTACATTCTACAGAGTATTCAATTTGGGATCTTGCTTTTTAAAATTTAATATTGTGCTGCCAAGTGACCCGGCATACATGGGCATGCGGAACCACTGGATTCCTTCTTGATAGACGCTGTTGGTTTTGCAAAGACAGATGTAGGTTGACAGAACTGGGAGCCTTCCTGCCCTCTGTAGAGAAGGCCACTGAAGGCACGCTTTGGCCAGAGCCCGTGGCGCCTGGACATGTGTGGTTAAGCAGATGCCCAACAGTCTTGACAGCTGCCTGGGAAGCTCGGTGGAGACAAGTTCTTTGTCTTTCTGGGCACTCTGAGAGCACCTGTGCGAACACGTCACCTAAGTGTGACTCAGCTGACTATCGAGTCAAGCTCCGGTGGCCATGGGCACAGGCGTCGGGCTGAGAGTGCTGTTCCTCAGGGCACAGACCGTGGGGTGAGATCGATTTCCACATCCTGTCCCTGCAAGGCCAGAAACGCCTCCCCCGTGTCTCCAGCCAACTCGCAAAACACCACGAACTCTACCCGCGAAAACCACTTCTCCTGTCTGTCATGCTAATTAGCAGAGCCACCATGCCATCCATGGCAGCCTACTTCTGACACCCTAATGCCAATTAGTCACACTTCAGGTGGGTTTGGATGAATGTCGCTGAAGAGCTGGTAGATGCCATCTGGGACTGTGGCCCTGGATTAAAGGCCAGTGGCCCCACCTGAAGTGCGAGTTCCCAAGTAGGACACTGGTCACCCTCTGGGTGAGGATTAAAACAAAAACACCATCCACAGCACACCTGGGAAGTAGGATGACCAACGCTGCCCTGTTCACCTGGGATCTTCCTGGTTTTAGCAACGGAGTCCCCACGTTCTGGAAACAGCCCAGTCCGTGCAACCCTGGCCAGTCAAGACCGAAATCTTTCAAATTTCGGGCAATCACACTCTCCTGATAGCACAAATGTTGAACCTTGACCTTGACTAGCTAAAATTGTAGATATGATACAAACAACTTGTAAGCATTACTTAAAGACCAATTTAATTTTTGTTTCACGTTGGTAGTGTCTTATGGGAAACTACCTGTCTTCTCATCGTGGATGGAGTTTTCCCCCGCAGAGCAAAACTAAAAACATTCCTTGCAAAATTATGCAAGTCTCTAAAATAAAATTCATACATAGGCTTTTATACTGACTTCAGACATTATTCCCATCATCCTGTTACGGGCGAGTGATCATCCTCCGTGCTTGTATTTGGAGACAGAGAGTTGAAACCAAACACCAAAGCAACAAAGGACAGTGAAAGAAGTTGATGAAGCAAGTCCATCTCGGGCCGGAGGGACGAGAAAGATTAGCAATAGCACGCTCCAGAAGGTGACAGGGGCGGCAAGCGTCCAAGGGGTTTCTCCTTTTCTTCCCTCTGACATTCTTGTCCCTGGGGCCGACCTGAATGTTTCCTCCTCCCCTCCGTCAGGTGGGGGGATTTTCACTTTGTTCAGCCCAGGATGTGCCATGGCTTCCAAAGCCATTCCGGGGGCAATAATCTGTGGTGATGATGGTATAATAAAGTCACAGTCATGAGGACACTTTTGCCCTCCATCCGCGCAGGCGCCTCCCGAGGGGCTTCCCCCCCACAACTCAGAACCCAAGCAAGCGAGGTGTTTCCATAATGGTTATGATGGCAGCTGCCCCGGAGCTTTTGTTCTCACTGATCCGTGACCCTAATTTGCCTCCTGCGGTTCTGCCCACCTGCGTTCCCTATTCTGGTCTCCTGCCTCAATCCTTCAACCTAAAGTCTGCAGGGGAGCTTGAACACAGAGCTTTAAGAAGAGCAGCAGCCCTGCCCGCGGGACATGCTGGGGACTTAGGGACTGAAACCGTGCGGAGCGGCAGGGGCTCCTGCAGACAAGGAGCCTGAGCGCAGAGGGGGCTGGGCAGGACGGGCAGAGTACCGGGTCCCTGCTCAGACCTCAACTCCCTCGCTCAACTTCCGTCTCAGAGGGCTGCTCTTGGCCTTGGGAAATTCCGTTGTTTGCGAACATCCTCCTGCAGCTGTCTGAGCCGGGCCACCCCGCTTCCTGCCTTGGTTGTCCAGGGTGGGAGGGGGCCCTTGGGTGATTTCGCTTCCCCGGGCACTGGCCCTTCTTTCCGCTCAGCCCCTTCCGGGCCTGATTCGGGGAGTCCAGCTGTGGCCCTCGAAGCAGGCTCGTGCAGCGTTGCCCTTGGTCCTGGACGCTCAGCCAACAGTTCATGCCTACAGAATCCTTGCTAAGGCAGACCCCTTATCTGTGAGTGTCCACCCGAGGTGGTGACCCTCCTGCCTGCTTAGGCACTGGGAGGCGAGAGCCCTGGGCTGGTTTAGTGTCCTCAGGCTCCTTCGCACTTTCTGTACTTTTCCCTCTTGGCAGAGGGGTCTCTGATGGAGACAGCCATGCCCCCGAGGGAAATGGTAAAGGGAAAGAGGAATTATTTGAAGGGAGAGAGTGGGAGGTGAGTCCAGAGCAGGGGTGAGGAGCAGGGCAGACACCTCTCCCGCGGGACACGGCAGGCTGGAGCCCGCGCCCCACCACCCTTGCTGGCACTTAGTTGACTTCAGTCCCCTGGTAGGACTCTGGGCCTGCTGCAGTGTCAGGGCCGGAGGAGTTTGGGGGTCCATGGGAATGGCATCTCCTCCACCCCATCTGTCCAGACATCCTGGGGCCACAGCCCATTGAAGATTCCAGAATAAGCAGGGTCTTCCCAGGAGAGACCCCACTCTGCACGCTGACTGACCCCAGATCTGCACCTGGGCTGTGTCAGTGGGAGAGCTGGGACGCCCTAGCCTGAGAATCAGGAAGGATGGACAGGAAGGAGCCTTTGCTCCTCTTTCAACAGTGTGCCAGAATAGCCGTTTGAGAAGATAAAGAAAGAGGAGTGTTACCAAAAGCTCTGCACTTACCTTCGAGGCAGCGTCAGAAGAACAAAGAAACAAGAACAAGAACAAGAATAAGAACAAAGGCTGGGCGCGGTGGCTCACGCCTGTAATTCTAGCACTCTGGGAGGCCGAGGCGGGTGGATTGCTCAAGGTCAAGAGTTCGAGACCAGCCTGAGCAAGAGCGAGACCCTGTCTCTACTAAAAAATAGAAAGAAATGATCTGGACACCTAAAAATATAGAAAAAATTAGCCGGGCATGGTGGCACGTGCCTGTAGTCCCAGCTACTCGGGAGACTGAGGCAGAAGGATTGCTTGAGCCCAGGAGTTTGAGGTTGCTGTGAGCTAGGCTGACGCCACAGCACTCGCTCTATCCCGGACAACAAAGCAAGACTCTGTCTCAAAAAAAAAAAAAAGAACAAGAACAAGTATGTATAGGAGGAAAGTATTTGAGGAGAAGGAAAGAGAGCTTCATTACTTTGCTGGCAAAGGAGGAAAACTGGTAGAGCTTCTAATCTCAAAATGCAAATTTCCAGAACATTAGTAGGAATACAGACCTTCCAGAGGGAGGGCCCTCAGTTCCTGGCTATGGTGGTTAACTATTCTAATAGTCCTATCTCTGCCAAAGCCCTACCTTGGCCACCTGCGGGGCTGGCCCTGGCCTGGGATGGCTGAGTTTTCTCTGGTAACAAAAAATGTAACTTGCCTCAGGCTTGCAGGCCAGATCCTAGTTCCAGTGGGGGAAGTTTTTAAGAGGCAGAAAATATTTTTGCTGTGGTTTTTTTTAATCAGACCCTTCCCTCTGTTACAGGAGGAATTATAAGAAGGGGAGGAGAAAGTGCCAGGGAGGGAAAAGTTTCAGTAGCTAACTTTGAGACAGTATTTTGTACCAAGGCAATCTTTGAATCCTGAATGTTTTATTTTTTTTGTTTTTTCTTTCCTTTCTTTCTTTTTTTTTTAAACAGAGTTAAGGTCTCCCTCTGTCACCTAGACTGGAGTGCACTGGAATAATCAAAACTCAACGCAGCCTCAAACTTCTGGGCTCAAGCGATCCTCCTGCCTCAGCCTCCCCAGGAGAATAGCAAGGACTACAGGTGTGCACCAACACACCTGGCTAATTTAAAATTTTTTTGTAGCGATGGGGTCTGGCTATATTGCCCAGGCTGGAATCCAACTCCTGGCTTCAAGGGATCCTCTGCTGTTGGCCTCCCAAACTGTGGGTATCAGTGAAAGCTTTCGTTTTGGCTTTGTTAGCCTCAAGATATCAATGAGATATGTGCAGATTATTTGAAGTAAATGATTTTATAGCCATAGTCTCTTAGTTTTAAGACCAACAGATTGAATGATGGATCCCTATAATGTTTGAACACGGTACAGGCTGGAGTTCCAGAAAATACCTTGGCATGCCTTTGAACTTTGCAAGCTCATTTGTAACTAAATTTGTCTAGGTGATTTAGTTGACTGGGGAAGACACCAAGGCCAATTAGAAGCAAGGGCTGAATATGCAAAGGCCAAACAAACACACGCAGTAATAAAGGAAGCCCATCGTTACCAGGAATACAATGCCTTCTCCACAGAGGGGAACCATCCTCCCTTCATCCAACCTCAGGGCACAAACTACCCAGCTGTCAACAGGAGGAAAACAGCCCTGTCCAATAGGGGAGCTCCCAAAGGAGGGGGAAAGACCCCTCTCCAGTCCCATCCCAAATAAAACAGAACACAGTACAAGTTTGGGAATTCTGTCCAAGAGACACTAAGGAGCAGGAAGAGGCGACCAGCGTGGGAACCTCATGCCAAGTCAGGGGGGCTTGAGATTCTCCCTGAGGGGAATCAGCTTTGGACTCAGCATCTGATATCTTGGGGAGGTCAAAAAGAAGAGAAGAATTACAATTGAGGGGGTACACTCAGAAAAAACAGAAGGTTGGGCCTTCTATAACCAGGGGAGGTGTTGGAGGGGACGGGTATATGCATACACAAAGAGTGCAATGCGCACCACCCGAAGAATGGACATATTTGAAACTGGGACTTAGGGGGAGGGGGGGCAAGGGCAACATATGTAACCTAAACATCTGTACCCCCATTATATGCTGAAATAAAAAAAAAAGGGGGAGGTGTTAGCTCTTGCTCTTCCAGAAGGTTCGCTGGCACCAGTCAGGGTGTGAGGAGCTGGCAGGGGCCGCTGCTGAGCACGGCGGTGGGCGAGTCGGTCCTAGGGCGGCAGTAACTTCTCTCGGAAGCTGGAGAGAAACTGGCTTCAGGGTCCCACAAGCAGCTTCAGCAGTCAGGTGTGCAGAGAGTCACATTTCTGAAGCAAAGTTCTGTATCCAGGGCTTCTTCCTGCTGGCTTCTGGGCTGTCCCAGTTGGGTATGACAAGGACGACCCAATTCTCAGGATCAACTTGTACAAAGGATGTTTCTCAGAGCTTGTGAGTTTCACCCTCATATACACTCCCGCCCATCCACCTGCAGCTAATGACGAGCTCGGTGGGTGTGGCCTGTTGGAAGGAGCCAGGTCAGGGGCTCCCGGGCTGGGGGGGATGGAGGTCGGTCCAGAGGCAGAAACAGCCAGTGACAGGAAGGGCCCAGGAGAGCAGGGAGGAGGCCTTGGGGTGGGGGCGGCACCGAGGGCAGGAGGAGGACAGGAGGGCCAGGCCGCAGTGGGTCTGGGCAGGGACCAAGGGAAGGCCGGAGGGGAAGCGCAGAGGCCAGGGAGACAGGTGATTTGGCTCGAGGAAGCTTCTCACCCGAGGATCTCCTGCAGCTGAGTGTCCAGTAATTGATGATTTTCATTCAATCCGTCCCAAGGCTGGAATGGCTTTCCCTGGTTGTCCACAAACTTTTCCCAGCAGTATTCAAACTCTGAGATCAAAGAGGGAGAAAGCAGTCAGGGCCTGGCAGGCCTCTCTCCCCTGCCCGATCAGACGGTCCCCCTGCCAAGGCCAGGTCTCCTGGGTGCCAGTGGGGGCTCAGCTGGCTCAGGCCTGGCAAGGTTCCCCTGGAACCCTGACCCTCTGCTGGTGTCCAGACCCGTGAGTTCCCCACGGTGTCGCTCCTGCAGCCGCAAACCTGACCCCCACTTCTCACCTCTAAGCGACATGATGTGCACCTGGGCCCCTTCCTGACTCATCCTTCGAAGGCCCCGCCGGTGTTCTGGGTCACGGTGGTAGTAGAGGCGGGCAGCGAATACGGTCAGGCTCACTTTCGTGTGCGTGGCCAGAAAGCCAGCCACCAGATCCGCACAGTCGGCGCAGGGACTCCAGGATGCGTACCAGGTGACCTGGTAGTCCTGGTCAGGGGACAGCATGTCGTGGAACCAAGTCATGAAGCAGTCCTCTGCATGGCAAGGAGTCTTGGGAGGACCCTGGGAGA